AGGAGAGAGAGAGAGAGAGAGAGAGTGCAAAGAACTTGGAACGGGCTGACCCGGGAGAATTCCACAATTATCGCGAGGCTAATACGCGCCTCTGACGATTCGTAGTCAGCGAATGCTTGTTTGCGAACGAGGACACCAAATAAATTTTGCACGCTTTACGATAATATGCCGGGCGAACCCGTAACCTGGATTATATAAGTGTCTATTACATAATTTGAAAAATAATCGAATCGATCACATCGCTATTGGAGAACGCTATTTAAAGACGCTCCAATTTGGAATTATGTAGGAATTATGTCGATCAGGTATTTCCACTTCGTTCCATATATATATATATATATTTAATTATCGTGAATATTTTAAAACGACGTTGTCGATTATTTTAAAGAATGTATGTATGTATTTTTAAATTTAATTTAATATTTCGTCGCATCAGTTTATAATACACATTCGGTCCACGTTATTTATTACGTGAATTATTTTATTTAAAATTGCGATTAACAAAGTGTGAGTAGTTGTTGGAATAACTCGTTTCGTTTTTCTTTAAATTATATATGTAATATAAATTAATTACAGATTAACTGTTATAGAAATTTTCTTAAATTCGATCTCCAACACCGAGCTCCAACAACCAAAAAGAGGTGGCAAGGTGGAGTTGATGTTAAAATTGGTGTTAAATTGATGTTGATGGGGAAAATAAACGTTGCCGAACGTGGTGAAAGATGTCGTAATATTACGGTGGTTCGACTGGTATTATCAACTTGTATGCTAATGAATGTGCGTGGCAGTGAAGGCTGGTTTGCAAATGGCGGCCGTCTACCCTGTAGAAAGCGCCAGCCATTTCTACGCTACGATTTCTTCGTTTCGTCTCTTCTTTCTCGTGTAAAAATATAAAATTCCATCGATTTCCGTACAAAATTTCAACATTTTTTCCACTTTTTAAAAATTAATCGATCACCTTAAAATAACGAACGTATAATTTAGCGTGAATTTTATATGCAACGATATTTAATTTCGCAGATAAGTTCATCGAAAAATTTCATTGATGTTATGTGTAATCATTCGACATATTTTTTCCTGCGTAAAAAAAATACATAATTTAAAAATTTATCCACTTCTCTTTACTCCACTACTATTTATTTTTCGCTTTAAATTGTTTCCGCTTTGATTTAATTTACTTATTTTAACGAGAAAGAAAAACTTTTATTTTTATAAATTCCAAATCTCTTCGCGTTATTTATGAAGTTAATCATTTTACAGAACCGATGCATTTAATATTAAAAAAGGTAAAAACATTTAACATTTTTAATGTAACCTCTTGAGATCGTTTTCGAATATTACATCGATACTGCTATATATCTTGTTACATTTTGATATTATATTTAAAAATTTGAATAAAAAAATTACGAACAACAAGATTAATGCAAATAGAAAGGAAACGTTTTTTCGAAATGAAAATTGGAACGCTTCAATCAAAAGCTGACATGTTTTTCAGCGTATTCAGGGATTTGAAACTCAGGTAGAGAAAAGTACTAAGGAACTAATTCCAATCTTCCTAGAAATCGGCTCAGGCCTTTCGAAATACAATCAAACTGACGCAGATGTTCTAACAATGCAGACAAGATATACCTGAACCTTTTGTTCGAAATTTCCCGAACGGAAATTTTTGACATGGACAAATGAAAACTTTTGAGAAATCGATGGCCGACAGGCCTGAGTTTATTCTCCTAACTTTGCTTGCTTATGGTCGATACCTGAAAAGGAAGGAAAATCTTTCGGGAACATTGGCAATTGTTAAGAATTGTTAAGAATTTCTCTAAAAACTACAATCTTATTTAAACGTAAAATGGAAATAAATGGAAAAAATTATATATTGAAAAGTTATATGAAATTTTTCTCGAGAACGAAAAATAAGTAAGTATGTTATTTATAAATTATTAAAATTTAAAGTAAAATACAATTCTATCGGGAAGATTTTACTTTAAATTTTTGATTTTTCAAGATATATATATATATATATATATTCAACTGTTTGAAATATAAATGATTTTAAATGAATTTCTCTTCATAATATATCGTTTGATTCAATCGAGTTTTCCTCTAAAATTTCGCAAAATACAGTCACCTACGTTACCGATATGGAAAAAGTTTGATGCGCGTTTTCACCAAAAGATAGAGCCACGTACAACGCTCGCGCGTATTTCGTGGGATATGTAATATCGTTTATCGTAATGTCAAACCTTTTTTTTTTTACTTATTTAATCGTTGATTTAACATTCTTCAATTATATATATATATTCACTTATCGTATAACTATCGTTATGAATATCTTTTCCAAACTATACAGTTTCAAAGAAATAATACACTTGTTAGTTTGTAACGTGGCGATCTAATACGTCATTCGACGCAATAGTCCATTTATATTTCGTTTTATCTAACGAAAATATATGTTAATCGTTGTTTTATAATACTAAAAGGACTAAAATTCGTAATTATTGTTCACACACTTTTACTTGAAAGCAAGCAATCGATTTTATCATGAAAAAACGTTACACTAGGTTACAATTAAAACGAACGTCGAACATATCGATATATAATGTATCTATGGTATGCAACAGCAATGCTGCCAACATTAAAACTATACTTGAAAGTGTTACGAAAAATTTTACTAAAATTCAATTATTAGAATTCGATTAAATATTGCTGTATAAATAAAAAATGTTAAAACGTAGATTTCAATTTTATGAAATTATTACAACGTGATAATCTTCGCAAAATTAAAACGCATTTCACAAAGTGAAGTCGATTTGTTATCGAAGAAGAACAAACAGCCAAAGATGAATTAATCGAATGATCAAATTGATAGAAGATAGAATGATTTTAACTAGTAATTATATTCTTAGCCATGCAAGTATACACACCAATGAAAAACGATGATCGTTATACGAGGTCGAGAAGTGGCGGAAGCATATAGGAGGCGGAGAGACGCACGCACCTCTCTCTATGTGTGGAAAGTTTTAGGTAAGTTCAAATCGAATACTGAAATTCCACGTGTCTTCAAGAGTATGTCAAGCGGGAAAAAGTGCCCACACATTATGTGTATTTGCGTTAATGTGTTCTGCAGCATCGGCATGAAATTCGGGTTCTGTCTTTCCATCTTTGAATTCTATTGCTTACGATAAATCGTTTTCATAACTTGGACATGAATTATCTTTACCGACCAACATCGAATAAACCGAATATGATTCTATTACCTAACCTATACATTTATATTATCGATGTTTGTAATATCGTCACCATTATAACGATGTATTTCCTAGCAAAATAGAAATTTTAAAAGAAAATAAAAATTCTTCATTTTATTTAGCTTACTATGAAAAGAAAAATCGTTATGTAATAACATCTTAAAATATTTTTGAATTTCCTTATTCGGTTTTATTTTCGATTTGTTTTTCTGACATGACTCATATATTATAGTCACGGAAATAGAATAGAACGAAAAAAAGTTGCCACTTTTCCACAAGACGATTATACCTTTATTCCGAGCTATTTATGGTCTCAGAAAAAAAATTCCCGTATAATTGAGCGTAACAATGTTTTCTTGTTTCCTGTAAAATATTTTCTCCGATGGCTACCCTATTTTTACGCCACGGTATGTTGGTATTATTGTTGGTGACACGTAAATTGTATCTACAACAGTGTGCCTAAAGAGTGTCCACGTGGACATTTCTTTCGGCCGACCTTTATCGTGTGTCTCTTTCGGGTGAATCACTACTATAATATTACAGTTCGGTGATCCATATTTTCCCATCTATTTACTCGTGATTTTTAAAAAAATTACCAATCTGTTTGTCTTTTCTAGTTTGTAATGATTCATCGTTCTAATATTACACGTGTTTAAAATAATTTTTAAAATGAAAAATTTTTTCTATCGTAAAAATTATTTCTCCTTAGAGAAGACTGAGAATTTTTAGCAATAATAACATAATAATTCTAAATATACTTCAATTAATGAGAAATGTTTTATTTTTACAATGAATTTTATTTCGAAACAGTGACATACTAAATTACTACTACCATGCGACAAATGTTCTAGCATATCGTTGCGGGCATATCGCGGACAGGCAACTGAATTAATTACAACGCTCGAGACGCTTCCCGGCGAAGTTAAATAAGCGTTAACGTTGAATTTTCATTTCCCGCCATGTTGACGCCGAAACCAGCCGAATTTCAGGGACGATCGCAAAGCTGTGCCACGTGCGATATCAAGGCTATATTTCAACAATAGGAAAAAATGAAAGTAGTACGATAGTTGCACAATGTTGAATCAGGAAGTTGAATCAGAAAGGAAGAAAAACATATTATTTTTATAAAAAACGGTAACGACAAGAAGATTAAAAAATATTTAATTCACATTTGTTTACGAATCAATTGAAAACTTATTATTCGACTTATTAATATCGACATAAAATTCTAGAAAAACAAGTCGACAAAATAATTCAACTTGTAACATACTACCACTAATATGATGATATTTTACGAAATGAATCAGCTATTACGAAAGTTTCAACTTTGATAAAACTAATATGGCACGTTCAGCCATAAATTTCTATTTTAAAATCTAAATTTCTTAGAAATAAATAGAAATCTAAATCTTTTGTACCCATGGTCAACAACTTTATAGGAAGAATTAAAGTAATTTCATACTTGTCACGCACGAAATGAAGTATGTATACCGGAAGTCAATGTTCTAAGCTTAGTTAGTCAATCGGATTACGATACACGAAACCAGAGATATAGAAAGGCCATGAAAAAAATATATTAACAACGAACAAATTATTTAGAAGAAGAAAGATCAGTAGAAGCAGTGAGAACATAACGTGAGAACACATGATCGAAGAAGCTTACGGAAAAATTGAGTATTACGTAATTTAATTACCATTGAACATAATTTTAAAATCTTATGTAACAACAACAGAGAATGAAATAAATGAAAATTTTCTCGTCATATAATAATATAATATATTGCACAAAAGATAGGATCCACATAAAACCGTTAATATTTCCGTTGTTTTTCAAAAATTTCTTTTGCTTGTGTGCGTATATATGTATATATAGCATGTATAAGTGTTCGCGATGTTCTGTTGACATGAAGAACCGTTAGAAGGATTCTAACATTCGTTTATGTGTGTTATTACTAATCTATTCCCGAAAACGAGTTTACAACGAACGCATTATGAAGTTTCCAACATTTAAAAATATCAAATAACGATCTTTTCTAATAATATGTATTGAACGATATCATTAGAATGGATACTAAAAATTTTAAGAATAATCGAGAATAAAAAAAAATAATTTTCACTGATTAGATATATTTCGGCAGAATATTAAAGTAATGATTAAAACCCTTATGCTAATTACGCGAATATAAAACGAAGAAAAATAAATGGAAAAAATAGGTAAGTTGAATCGATAAGAAAAGGCGCGAAAAGTTACAGCGCAGAGCCTGATCGGTGAATAGTGTCAACGAATTTCTAACCTCACTGGAAACACGATACAAAGATTCGTAAATAGAGGATGATAAATTTACCTTGTCGCATCGCCGTTTTTCTCCTCGATTTCCAATCGCTCCATTTCTTTTTGCAACATGCCACCTTCCGCAAACTTATCCAGGGACATGATTTCTTTTTCTTAACGTTCGTTGTAAAATTCACACAAAAACCGATGAATTATTTACAACAATACTCGATGTGATTTTTAGCACTGTTCAATATAATATATATTATATTATATATTATATATGTATATATAGATATATATATATATATATGTATATATATATATTTCTTTTCTTCTAAATATCTTTTAATGCAGCTTTTCGCCGTTAGCTGCCGCTAATCGACTGAGGTAGACAAACACTGGCACTAAACACTGGCTGATTTCTTCGTGCGACCGAACGAGCACGAATGAAAGAGAGGAGTGCAAAAAAAAAAGGATGAAAATAGGACACACGACGATGTACGCGACAGACCGATACAAATTCTTTCTCGGTTGTCCGTATAGCAGCGTCCTCTCTTATTTCCTTAATTTCGTATTCTTTCGCGCGTTTCTCCCTCTTTTTCTTTCTACGGTACGCTTCTCGTGTCTTTTCTTGAACACGATATTTTTTTCACTCTTATTATTTTTTGATAATAACACACAATTATTACGCGTAACACGATGTAACGATTATTAAAGATCTCGCGAGACGATGTGACAAATAAAAATAAAAAATCGAAATAAGTAAAAAACAATCCAGGCAATAACGCTTGCAACTTCCTTTCAAAGAAGTGTCTCGTTCGTCTCGTTCTCTCAACAACCACCGTGGAAACTCGCGCGGGTGGAGCAGTTTTGTACTTTCCTCCTTGCCTCCTTGCTCCTCGGCTTTCTACTACCGTAGTGTCCTCCTCCCCTTGCTCTTTCCACCACTTCGTCCTTCTTTCTCGCACGCTGCCTTCCTTCTCCTCTTTCTCTAACCAACGAAGAAATCCCTCCACGTATCGAAGACGCACGAGCACTTTTACTAACTAAACGGAGAAGACAGCCGAGAGCTTGTACGTGATTGGTCGTTTAAGACGATTCCGGGACCGTGCGTTATCCGGTTCCCGCTACTGCTCTCTCTCTCGGAGAATGATGAACACCGTTTTACGCGATGACACAACGGGTTAGAAACGCCGGTAGAAAAAAAAGATACGTCTCTGTAGAATTACGTTGGTCCTTTTTTCGTATGTAACACTTACATATATAATACATATATATATATATATATGTATATGAATATATATATATATATATTATATTATATATATATATATATGTATATTTCAAACCCACGTGGATTAATCGGTCGTATAATAAAGGTAACGGTGCTCTGTTTTACTCTGTCGAATACGAAATGACACGATACCCGGCTTCTGTTCCGTGCGACCGCGTTTCAATATATTCGTAAATGACACTGGCCTTAACTTCGCACGTATACGTGGGTGCGTCCTCTCTCTGTTCTCTAGTTGCTCTTTCTTTCTCTTTCTCCCTTTGTCTTTTCCTCCCTTTCGTTCTCCACTACCCCTTTCTCCGTTTTTGCCGGGCGTTTCGATCAACGTTGCTTGCGATCGCGTCGAATGCGCGACGATCAATGGGGCATAAATGCGCGTTGAAACAGAGAGATTCTCGTCCGAGTTTTCCGTACACCTATCGGAAGCGCGAACGCAAACGGGAATACGGAAGAGAAAACACACACGTCTAAGAGCAGCGTGCTACGCTGACGGCGGTTATATCGGCCAGGATATCTATCCAGAACGCGCGCTGGGAACACTGATATTATTTTTATAACAACGCGGTGCGCGGCCGTCCTAGGCCGCGCCCAATATACCCCCACCCTCGACTAGGTTCCCTCCCCTCCACTAACTGTTTCTCCCTCCCCAGTTCAAGGGGAAGCTTCGCTGTTCGTCCCCACCAAAGACATAGCATCGTACCGGCGTGTGAGACTCGAGAGAAGGGTGAATAGGAAAAAGTTCTCGACTATCCTGCGTGGGTATATCAAAGCCGGAACATTTTCTTCGCGTGAACACCATGTTGCTTCGATCGTTTTTTCCATCGCCATCGTCTAAGACGAATTCTTCATTTTGAATAAAGGTACATCCTATATATTCCACCGAATTATTAAGCGAGTATTCATTCTGTCGTATTATACCACGATTGGTGCACCACGTTGTTCGTGTACAGAGGCGCCATCTGATGGACGCCGGTAAACACTAAAAGTTATTTTTCCACTAAAAGTTGTCGCTCCATTCTCATTCTCCTTTATTTATGACAATTTTACGAACAATGTGTAAACCTATTAGAGGAGATAAAAGTCGAGTCGAACGATGCTTTTTTTTTTCTAATTTTCTTTACATTATCGTATGCTTTTTGATATACATATATTTTTTCATTTATCAGAAAAATAATTTAAATAAATATTAATGTTATACGTTAAATTAGATATATAGAAATATAATTTAATTTAGCAAAAAAAAAAAAAAAAGAACAATTTAAAAATAAATTATAATCAAATAAAACTTGGAATTAGAAAATTTTAATTTTCAATATTTGCTTCATATCACTTGGTAAATAACTAAGAAATGTAACGCTTCACCCTTAGGCTGGTTACGGCATCAAGAGCACTTCTCTGATCAACTTGTAAGCTGAAAAGGGGGAGATTACAAGTGCCCAACCACCGTGACTTTTTAAAAGACATAGCTGTACGTTATTTCACGTGCATTTGGCTTACGCTTCATTAGCGATCGGATCGGTAAAGTACAGAAGAATCTACACGGTAGAGCTTTGCCGAACGTTGAAAGTACAAAAAAGGGCAAAATCAATGAACAACAAAATACGGATTCCTAGTTCTCCGTGGAACCACAGGATTGATTCCGTTACGGAGGTCTCTCTTTGTTCGGCCAGGTAGAAAGGAAGGATTCGCCTTTCTTTTGTGCATGCCTGCAGGTATATGGGTGCAGGTCGACCATGGGTATTCGTGGCTTTTCTGCGCTCACGTTTCATCGTCATTATCTTTGGCAATGACGAGGGTGTTATCCTTGAACTAGATTTATCATTCACAGAATCATAGCTGGATAACACTTGAATTTTTGATGCGTTAAAACGCCTGCCATAATTACGTTTCGTTATGCCTTTTCAAGATTGAAAGCAATCCTGATACGCCCCTTGTTAAAATACACCTTTTATGCATCGTACGCATCAAAATCCATAAAGCAATTAAGATTTCGTATTGACAACAATTTTAATTCGTATTATTCGTAATTGAATTTAATTATCTCTTATTTCATTAAATTCGTAATTGAATTTGATTCTAATGAAACTTTGATCATTGAGAATTTTCCTTTATATTTTTAAATATAATAGAAAAATTATCAATTATCCGACTTATATGATTCTAATCAAGCATAAGACATTTAAATTTTTCGTAAACATCTTTTGCATTTGCAATATATGCACAACAATTCTAATTTTTCATTCGAATGTATCGTAAAATTAATAAGAATATGAAATAATACGATATAAATTGTTGAAATATTTGAAAAATAAGAAATAAAAATGTACGAACGAAAAAAATGATGTAATACAAGTGTCCTATAAATTCACGTATCCCGAAATATAAACATAATTATTCGTGCAATGACCTAGCATCGAAATAGTTATGCATAACATCATAATTTTTGAGACAAGTTCTACTGGGATTTGATTTAAATGGCACACCTGTACACAACTTGTGCCATGATCTACCAGAAGAAAACAAATGATGATTACAAATCACCGAATTACGCAAAGGGGGTTAGAGAAATAAAAAAAAAAAAAAAAAAAGAAGAGAAAAAAAAAGAATAGAACTTTGCGAGGGGAGTGGTCACATAACCGAAGAAACGTTGATCCATTATAAACAAGTGGACAACCATTATTATAATACCGGATCGAACTTGAATTTTGAGTACGCCGTATGGTCGCGTGGTTTCACTATGAATTTTTATTACATTAGGTAACTTAACAACCGATAGAAATGTTCCTCCTCTCGACATAAAAATCCAATTGTTCATCTCTGTTTATACAAAACAATTTTATTTTATTAAATAAAATTTTACATATTTTTCGAAATCGTATAATTAACAAATTTACCTAATGTTTTCAAGTTTCACGATCGCGTCGATATCGTTAAAAAAAAAAAAATGATATCGTTTTAAAACCAGCGTGTGTACTCTTTTTTTTTCACTCAGCCTCCATTAACTAATTCGTTAAATGAATCAATCGATTATCCTATTCATCAAACGTAAAATTCACATCAATTTCTTGGAACCATCCTATACGATTCGTATATTTCATTTTTCCCTGAAATTGTCCTAGCAAATTGTTACGCTTGCATTACTAAATTTGTCACTTGCAGATTCGATATTACATAAAACTCGTATTCGTCAATGCGAGAAAAATACATTGAAACAACAAGGAGCGAAATATGCCTTTCGTAACAATTCATCTTAACAATCACGATTGTGCCTAAATTTTCTTAAATTTAAATTAGCGTAGAAAAATTCGATGAACAGATCAACTTACAAGAAAGCATGGAACAAGCGTGGAATTCGGTTCGTCATTCACCTAGAAACGAAAATATAGGCTTTATCGTGTGCCGCCTCTTTGTTCTTCCACGTAACGATGATTGGGATAGGTTAAGGCGGTGTTTAAAGATAATTAATAGTTGCACGGCTCGTAAATATCGGTATCAATGAAGCGTGGTGTTGTAGACATCAGTAAATGTCCGTGTAAAAAAA